TAATAAATTATCAATAATTTAGTAGTAAATCATTCATAACTTAATAGTAAATCATTGATAACTTAATAATAAATCACTAATAACATAGCAATAAATTAGTGATAACTTAACTGTCAATTGGTAGTAATTTTTTTATATTTGAAGTTTTTAATAATTAAACTCTAGTTACTAGCAAGAGTGAAGTCAAAACTTACAAATAAATTATTTATAATAATAAATCAGTGTTAACTTTGTCATAATTTTTTGATAACTTAATGATAAATAAATTATAATTTAATTATAAATCAGTAATAATAATAAATTAATGATAACTTATGATAAATCAATTTTAGCTTAGTAGTAAAGTATGGATAACTTAATAATAAATTATTCATATTTTAATTGTAAATTAGTGATATAACTAAGTTGTAAATTATTGATAATATATAGTAGTAAATCATTGCTAACTTAGTAATTTTTTTTTTGTTTGGTTGAATATTGATATAGAGCTATATATTTTTTAATGTGTGTAACATATTTGATTCATTTAAAAAATTATATTTATTGCCATTTAATATTAAAGTATTGAATTACAAATATTTTGTGGATATTGTATTCATATATAAATGATTAAAACAATATTCATGTACCAATTACTATAGCGACATAATTTTATTGAAAAAAAAATTCAATTTTTGAAGTGACAATTTGGAATGATTTTATCTAAATTTGAATGTCATCAATTGTCTATTTGATAATAAATTAATTATAACTAGATTAATACTATGTCTTTACTAAAAATAGATTGTTTTGTTACGTGGTATCTTTATAACACTAATAGCAACTATACAAAAAATTATTGTCTTTAAAGATACTTTTAAAATGAAAAAAAATAAATAATGAGTCTAAACTTATTAGAAAACACCATAGAAAAATTACCTATAAGTTATTTTCTCAAGTACATAATTTTTAAATTAAAATATATGATTTATTAATATTAATAATAGTACGAATTCTATAAATTATAATTTTATAACAATATTAGTTAAATGATGAATTTTTTATATGACTTATACTAGACAAATAATTAAGTGTTCATCGAATAAAGAAATTACTCCATTTTAATTAAAAAAGAGTTCAAATATTAAAAATATATTCATTATCAATTTTAAAGTCTAAGACTTAAAATATAGTTAAACTTCAAAATACAACAATATCTTTTGATATTTATCTAAAATAGATCATATCTATTAATTTTAGAATTCTTATATTTCATTATTTAACAAACAATAATAATATTGAACCAAAATTAATTGAGAAATGTATTTCAATATTTAAAGAACAACAAAAAAAATACTATTTGATTATGATAAAATATACCTTTAAGTAAAATGTGTTATTTAAACCCTTATTATAACATAGTTTAATAAGTTATGCATATTTAGTGGCTTTTTAAGAAATCAATTTTCGATATTAAAAGTAGTTTTAGTCAATATCCCTTGTAAATATAAAAATAAACATCATTGATGATTACATCGAGATAATAATAGTTCTTGATTGCTTAAAATCTTTTTTTTAGAATATGTTTATAAATTAATATTTTTTAATTAGTAAAATTCATGTAAGTATGCATTTTTTTACTATAAAATTAAACTACAAAATGATTTATAGACATAAATAAGTACAAATCAAAAATAGGAGTAAGTGATCATGAAAAAGAAAACATTATGTATTTACTTTATTTGAAGCAACAAAAACTTTTATAACAACATGGTTTCAAATCAAAATAAAGAATTTAAATTTTCAATCGCAAATAGATGAAAAGTAAGAGTTTAAATGAATTTAATAATGATCAATTACTTCACAAATTTATAAAATTGAAAATAAAAATCCACTATAAAAAAAGTTAAAAGAAAAAGCTCGAGAAAAAGCATAAAATAAAGAAGAAAAAGAAGTACAAAATCCAATTTGATTGTGATAAAAAACAATTATCTGAAAAATTTTAAAAAGAAAGAAAAAATATATAAAAAATGAATGAAAATGATGACTTAAAACCAAAAACTTAAAAGAAAACTTCTAAAAAAAGTTAAAATAGAGAAAGATTAAACATTTATTCTTTATTAGAATTTTAATTTTAATTTTTTTTTATATTTATTTTTTTCAAACTTAAATTTATATTTCCAATTTAATTTAGTATAATGATAGTTATTTCAATTTTATTACTATAAAAGTATTAAAAATTTTTATTATATTAGAATTATAATTTAGTTAACAATTTCGTGCTATATAATATATTTTATAACAAATTTCTTGATTTTAAGGGTTTGTAAGTAATAGTTTAATATTTTATATCATAAAATTTTTAAGTACTTAAATGGAGATGATTTAAGGATCTATCTCATTTGCTTGTAAGACTACATTTTGGCGTCTTCTGCTTCATGGTTTGCATTTGGAGGAATGTCTTATTTGATGTTCCAAGTAGGTGGGGAGCTTAATTTTCTCCAAATAATTGAGATTGCCTTCTACAATATAGTAATGATCAAATTTTTGATATGGTATGCATGAATTGGTCTTGCATATAATAGCAGCTAAAAGTGACAACCAAGATAAAAAAAGTGCATTGTGTACTAATTTTCTAATAAAAAATATAAGCTAGTCAATTATCTTCTTACCTTGGGAACTGTTAGACATGATTCTTTTATGGAATGATCAATATGAAATGCAGTTTGGCAATTTTTGCTCTTAGTTCTTTGATCCACTATTTTATCCTATATTAAGTATCGAACAATCCAAAATTTCCTTCCAATAATTGCCAAATGCAAATGCGCATTTCCATCATTATCAGGCTAGTTTATGAGTCCTTCTATTTCTATTGTTTCCAGCATATACTTGATGACATTACCTTTCTCACTAAGGATAGCAACATGTAGAGCATTATGCTCACATAAATCAAGAAGTTCTATAAATTCTAGACATTTTCAAATGATCTTTCTTATAACATTAACATGACCATTGCTAGCTACAACATGAAATGGTGAATGACCATGTTTGTCTAATATATATAAAACACTATTATCAAGATCCAGTAATTGTTTCATTATTTTATGGTCTCTTAGAGATGCTGCATAGTGGAGAAAGGTTCTTTCATGATGGTCAACTTTTTTTATCAATGTGGTTTGGCTTTTAGGAGGGCTTGCATGATACCTTACGTTTACATAAAAAATTTGTTAAGATAAAGAAAATTAGAAGCACTATTAAAGGGAAATACTTAGCAGAAATCTAATATCTTTATTTTGGTATAGAAATTAGAATTGCAAGAGTTTTGAAATAGCAAGAACTACAATGTTGTGTAAGAGAAATTTGTGAAAATAAATGAACCAAACATGAAAATTACCATAATGGCTTTCAATGACAGCAGCATGCAAAGTTGTTTGGCCATCTGAACCCTCATAAGCTACGAACTTATTTGTTGATGTCATAATTTCATTCACTATCTCTAGCTTTCATTCTCTGGAAGCAAGATACAAAGGCAATTCACCAGCGAAATTTTCTAAAAAAGTCAACTTATGATCGACCTTTAGCAATAGTTGAACCACTCTAAGATGAATATTCCTAAGAGCTTCATGCAAAACTATATTGTTTTCCTTGTTAACCATTCTTATAATCTCAAACTTGCTAATGATTTCTTCTTCATTAGTTTCTTTCCAACTTGCCCTTGCAGCAATATGTAGAGGTGTATCTCCATCTAAATTCTGCTTTATCAAAAGTGATCCACGCTTGCCATAAATCTCACTGATAATAATTTTGTGTCCAAATTTCACAGCTATGTTTTCCTGAAGAGTTACCTTTAAAAGTAGTATTAGATTTTGATATAGAAAATGTTTGAGGGAACAAACTTTGCCTAACTTGACATATTGGTTGAATTTTGGATCCATTGAATGATCATATCTAGAATCGTTAATAAGTAAAGTTTTTGATTCCCTAACTACATTATAAAAAAAAGGTATATTCCTTTTTACAATTTGGCTCTATACAACATTCAGTCAAAATATCACTGGCCTGCCTCTTCATAAATTGAAATATAACTTTTGCTTTAACTTTTACTAAATGAAAATAAAATATACATAGGTAGAAAATCATTCTAGGTAATAAATTCAATATAATTGGCCAACATGGACTATTTCGAAAGGTCTAAGTTTGTGACTTGACCAAAGCACAATATTACACAAAATTGCATGAAGGAAAAAGACAATGAAAAGTTATGTACAAACTTAGAAAGAAAAACAAAATTTTAAAGTTTCCAAAAGTGACAGCTTCATGACTTTTCAAGCCATGTGTAATTTAATAGTCTAAAGTTTTGTTCTTGTTTCTTTGGATAAAAGTTACTTAAAGGCACAAAACATGAAAACAAATGCTAATCTTCTAAATATAAAATATTTGAGGCTGGCCCAACAAAATAGAGCTATCTCATTTTGTAGAAAAAATTTTCTATTGCATTTGCCTCAACATTATCCTCAGCTATATGAGCGATTAAAACCAACATTTAGTTTGTTGTCAAATATAAACCATAAACTGACCAATTTTAAAACACAATAATTCATTTCATATGGCACAAAAAATATGTATTTATCAGATTTTATTTAGATTAATTTTAAAATTGAATCAAAATAATTTGTTAAACAAATTTTATTTTATTTGAATCTACTCGATTTAAAAAATATTATCATTAATTATTATCTCAATAAATATTTCGAATTTATTAAATCATCAAATAAATTGAACAAATTAAATCTCATTCTAATTAATTTGGATTTAAAATTTTTTATCCAAATTATTCCGAGAGGGCTCAATAAAATACTATAGCCTATCTTATTTTAAATTTTTATTATTCTATTTTTTAATTTTAATTTCTTTAAAAAAAAGGCGAAATAATAAAAAAAAAACCAGAAAGCTTGAAAACTCTAAACAGTCAAAATTCAAATAATTTCACTGTGATTGCCCACTGTATTGTTGTCTAACTTGCCAGCACAAAAATTGTATAGCCTTTCTCAAATCTCATAAAATCGAAAATTTAAATTAAAGTGTTTCTCAAATCTAAAAAAACAAAAATTGTATAGTCTTTCTCAAATCTCATAAAATCGAAAATTTGAATAAAAGTGTTTCTGAAATCTAAAAAAATTGGGGATTTGAACTGGAGCTGCGAAAAATTGAGGCAAGAGAGGAGGCCAATCTTTTCTGAAAAACTTTTGGAAGGCATTTTTTTCTGGAGGCCAATTTTTGGACAAAGAAGGCAATGCCAAAAATCCAACAAGCCATTGCCTCCACCGGCTACCATGTGTACCAACATACCTTCCCACCTTAAACCGCCACCACCATCCCATTCCCTTTCCTTTGCCAGCCGATCACCAACCCAACCCCACCGATCTCCCAACTACCCCCCCAGGAACAGCTCCCATCTCCCACCTTCCCACCACCTACAGCCCTACTGAGATAGCCATCGAAACTGCCAACAAATAAATAGCAACTGTCACAGCCAAAAACAAAAAATAAAAAACCCAAGCCAACAAAGCCAGAAAAAAAAAATGCAAACAACCACAGTCCTCTATTGAGGAATCCATCGGGAAAAAAAAAAAGAAGCAGAAAAGGGGCCGTTGAGGATGAAAAGGGCTGTCGGTCATTGGATATTTTTTGTTTTTATGAGTGATTTGGGAGAGTATTTTTAAGATTTTGGGAAAGGAGAGAAAAGAGCTATTTTTTTGGGCAGTGGGAGCGACGGCGGGGTATGGAGGTCAGCGCAGGCGAGGAGACTTTTAGATGATCTAAACCGGTATAAAGGAAGGATGGAAGGGGAGAAACAACATACTTTGGTTTCAGGACGATCGGACGGCGAGAAGAGGGTGAAAGGCGATTTAAAATTTCGGGTTAAAGTTTCAGATCTAAGCTATTATGAGGTGATTTGCGAAAAACAGAGGCTGAATCTGAGACAAGAAGGAAGAGAGGAGTCCACGGCTGAAATTTTGGAGTCAACTGATGCCAAATGGCGGTCGGGTCGGCTACCGTCACCGAGATCTGGGTTAGGGGAGAGTGGCCGGGTGTGTCTTTTTTGGAGAGAAAATGTTGCATTTGATACAAAAAACGGAAAACTCAGGTTTGATGCTCCTGACCCGTCTCTCTTAGAATGTTTGTATTTAGCAAAGTGATCAATGAATATGGAATTGTCTAACGATGTTGTAGATAAGGTATGTGCCACTGACATTTTTATTATCTTGTATATTTTACTTAATTACAGGTACGCACAGTATAAGAGAATATTAGAGGAAATTAACAAGTATGAAGGCAGTTTAGAAGCATTTTCTCTTGGCTATGAGAAGCTTGGTTCACATGTAGGTTACCATTCTTCCAAATATCTAATTGTTAGCATGGGCTTATTTTTCATAACCGTAATGTTCCATATTAATTGTAGCTCCCATGGTTGCATGTTATTGCTTTTTACGCTAAATGTAATTTGTTTTGATTTATTACTCTTTCCAGTTCAAATGAGCAATTTTCAATTAAATAAAATTAGTGTTGGAATATTCTTGTGATTGATTTGTGTGGGAATAGTGTACATGATTTTCTAGATCTTTTATTTTTATATGTTAAAAATTTAGGCAAATCAATCTAAGAAAGAAATCAATTCATTGATGCTCAACGAAGTATGGAGCAAGTATTTGGTTCTTTGGTGCAAGAAAAAATTAAGAATTTTATTAAAGCCCTTAGAATTAGTCCTTTCTCTATTATTTCACTTTTATATGTTTATTTTATTTATTTATTTATTTGTGTATGTCTTCTCCTTGTTTCCTTTATCATTTGTTTGTATTACATTGCTTAATAGCTATCTTGTTAACTTTTAATTTTTAGTAAAAATGTTATTCTCCATTCATGTTTTTTCTTTTTTGTCTTAGAAGTTGTTTTGTGATAAGCTGATATTGCTCTTTTTGATATAATCTCATCCGGCTTTCAGTGAGACAGGAATAACTTATAAAGAGTGGGCACATGAGTTAGGGTTTTTTATGCATCATTTTAACATTTTGAGATTTTAACCATTAATCTTACTAACTTCTATACAATAAAAAAAGTTTTATTAACTTCTAGGTGTTTTGTTTTCTCTTCAATTTTTGGGATTATTTTACTGATTGGAAATTTTAACAATTGGAACCCTAATGCAGATATTATAAGCCCTGTATGTTATGCTTTCTTGTGCAAGAATAAATGCCACGTGTGCATTGAATTGATATTTTCCATGTCTGTAAGAACTGACCTGCCATTGGTGGGTTACTTGACATTAAGTGAAGTTCATAACAATTGAGCAATACTTTAGTAGGTGCACCTACAAGTGATTTTCTTTGATGACATAAATAATGCAGTCACAAGATGGAGTTGGTGCTGTCAAAATATCAGTAACTCTGCACTTTGTTTTTGAGGCAGCTTTCTTGCAATTTTATATCTATTGATGAACTACACATCATTTGTGTTGCTTTTAATGAGCTACTGTCTCCCTTGCTTTTCTCTTTGACTCTGACCAATGTGCTCTATGATGTATGCCTTAAGAAACTGTAGTATTTGCAATACCAGCTGTTCATGCTTATATCTTCTCTAAATGCACATGTTGAAAGAAGTTAAAAGTTATGTAAGTTTGGTTTGTCAAAACGCTAAGCTTAATGTTGAATCTGAATGTAAACATGTGTGTTGATTTACATTGGCAGTGATCTATTGTCTATTTCTATATTTAAATAACATCAGTGTTTAATACTACAAATATTAATTGTTTTTTAACACAATGAGTTTGGTGTCTGGGAGATCTTTTGGCCTAATAATGTTGATGATTCACCACCAATTCCCCATGGTTCTCAAGTGAAGGTAAATTACCTATAGATGAATATAAGTTTGGCTCTTGAAAGTTATTGTGCTTACATTCAAATGCTACTTGTTTATTATTTTCTTTTTCCACGTTTTAAGTCAGTAAAAAGAAACTATAAAAGCTTGCAACTCTTTCCTTGTAGATCAACAACGTATTTAACCTTTTGATCATGACCTATGGACCAGGAACCTTTAAGTATGATGCTTTTTTTGTTACACTGATCCTATTGTATGTGTATATGGTTTGAATAAATCATTGGTTTGTGCTACAACCTTCACAATAATTAATTACTAGAATTCATGACATAAAGGCATTGATTGAAGTATTTAATGGGGTGGTCTCCAAGTCAAGCAAAATTATTCAAGGTAGTTGAGTTCAAATCCAACTAACTCCTGCCCTAAAAAGAAGGGAGAAAGAATAAAAAGATGAAGATGAAAAAAAAAAAAAAACATTTCTCTGGTATTACTAAATAATGAGTATTACTTTAGTTAATGATAATGCAAATGCCAAATACCTAGTGACTTGGATCTCTATTAATTTTTTTGTATATAGAAATATCTTAAATAACAGTTTCAAATCAATAACATGGAAGTTGGTTTGATTGCATTTTATTATGATTCTTCACCCATTTCTAAAACCCATTAAGAAGCCTAAATTTGTAACTAAACCAAAATTTATCTCTAGTTTTCATCATACTGTCATTCATAGAAAATTTGTCCCACAAACACCTTCAGTCTTTATCTTCCATGCTACATTTTGATATGGTTAATCCATTTCCTAGTTTTCTTAATATTATCAACTCTGAGATGCAAGAGCCAATAATTAGCACATATGCCAACTTTAGAGATGATGTGCTTCCCCACATTAAAAGACTTGGATATAATGCTGTTCAAATCATGGTTATTCAAGAGCACTTGTTTTATGCTAGATTTGGGTATTATCTCTATCAAAATATCAGCTCATCTTTATTTGTTGCTGTTTATGTTTGTTAACTTGTACTAAAATGTTATGTTTTGGATGTAAACAGAAATATTTCTTCAGAATTTAGTTTTAGTTATGGAAACTAACCTCTTCTACTTTTAACAAGTTGCATTTAATATGTTGCAAGTATCATGTGACAAACTTCTTTGCACCAAGCAGCTGTTTTGGAATGCCTGATGATCTTAAGTCACTGATAGATGGGGCTCACAAGTTGGGTCTACTTGTTCTTATGGATATTGTGCATAGGTAATAATTGGACTTGCAGGAGAATATCATTTGTAGAAACACACCCTTCAGCTTTATTAGCTGTTACAGTTTTTGTGCAAACGGTTTTTCCCAGTTTTTCGTACCAAAAATGAAAATATAAACTTTTTTTCTTCTTCTTTTCTTGCTTAGACTATATGGTCATTCTTCTAGTAGACTTTATGCAAATATGGCCATGAGAATTTAGGCTGTTATTGGTCCTTACTCTTACTATGTTTTTTCTAGTTGTTTTTGGCTTCCTAAAAGGTTTCTAAAGAACAAACCTAAAAGGGAGAAAGCAAAGTCATAATTGTTTGAAAATATATATGATTAAATGCAATAGAATTTGTAGTATAATTGTTCTATTAAAAGAGGAATCATAGTATTTTGTTCTACAAGAGATTATATTTTTTATTTTTTATTTTTTTAAAGTATTATTGTCTTTTCTACCCAAATGTACTTTCTACTTCTGGAAGCAAAAAGCTAGTAGCAAAAACAACTACCAAATGGAATCTTACTATCTTGTTTACAATGAAAGTTTTTATCTTTTGCATGTTGTTAATGTTAAATTCTTTTCTAAGCTGCAGCAAATTTTTATTCAAGTATTTGCTCTATTGCTTTGAGTAAGTAATCTTTTGCTGTAAGTCTCAGTTAATTTTTATTTTTTAGTTAAATTAAGTTATTAATTAATTTTGTCATCCATCTTTGTATCTGACCGATGTTTGACGAATACAACCATGCATCTAATAATGGATTGAACATGTTTCATTGAACCAATGCTCATTAATTCCACTTGGGGTCAAAGGGTCACCACTGGATGTACTTCTATTGAAACTTCCTTGTTGAAAGATTTTGGCTTCTTTCCATCCTATTGTGTGTAAATATTAATTTTTACTTGTTGCTTTAGGTACAAAGGTTTCTTCTTTCAAATGCAAGATGGTGGCTGGAAGAATACAAGTTTGATGGGTTCAGATTTGATGTTGTGACTTCAATGATGTACACCTATCATGGGTTGCAATTAATATCTTAGTGAGTTTGCAGATTTTCTATTCTGCTGGGTGTTATATAATAAGTTACTTGCATGTTTAGATGTTAATTATCAAAGTTTTGACTTTATGTTATATAGAGAAGTAGAACTGATGTAACATTTGGTTCTTGTAAGTGGTGAAACATCATTTTTCTATGTTTGTTTCTTAGCTAAATTCTCTTGAGGACTAAAGGTTTTTAGTGTCATTGCATCTTTATAATGTATTATCCTGGCTTAACCTTTGTTTTCTTGAACTTGCTGTAGGTAGCATTTACTAGAAACTACAATGAGTACTTCGAAAATGCAACTGATGTAGATGTTGTTGTCTATCTGATGCTGGTTAATTATATGATTCATGGGCTATATCCTGAGGCTGTCACCATTGGTGAAGATGTATGTTCTATTAACTCCTCTTTGAGTCACATTGAGCATACTTCGACTTATAATTGTTTATCTGTTCCAAAATTATGATGTCTGCTTTAAGTCCCCTGTCTCTTCTATAGCAATATTTGTTGAACTGGGTTGCGTAAATGGAATGGGGTTTCAATACTTTTTTATGTGATCCATGAGGATGCTAAGTGTAGAAATGGTTTTGAAAAAGTTTGCACTCGTACTTGTGTGTGCGAAACCTACCAAACATTTGTGTATTGTACATGTTTTTCTAATTCTTTACTACTTCATCACTTCTTTTCATGCATCAATTGAATATAGTAGTTAAGTGTTTTGATATTGTAGAATGAACTAAAGAATTGTTAAAAATGCTTGTTGCAAATTGAACTAATTTTTATTGTAGACCAAGAGTTATGGAAACATAGCAACTAAAGATGCCAAAAATGAAAATTCCAAAAACACTTGAAGGGAACAAACAAGCATCTCTAGAAATCTTAAAATATCCTTGCTTTTCACATATTTCATCTTTTGTGCAAATAATTCACCTAAAGAGCTACTAGCACAATAAAAGGTTATTTATGTTTTACCCTTTAGAAATATTAGCATAGTAAGGAACATTTAATAGATAAAATGTTTATATTGGAGTGATTTAGTCGTAGATTTTCATATATTATTTGCAAAAATAACATTCTTTAAGTTCTATGAATATTGAAAAGGAAAAGAAACAATAGTTTAAGGTAGACTTCCACCATCTTAAAATGTCATCTGTCATAATAATCAATTCTCCACTGCTTTTCTTTTTGACTCTGACCCATGTGCTCTAAGAAGTATGCCTTAAGAAACTGTAGTATTTGCAATACCAGCTGTTCATAAGTCAATGCCTATATCTTCTCTAAATGCACATGGTGAAAGAAGTTAAAAGTTATTTAAGTTTGGTTTGTCAAAACACTTAGCTTAATGTTAAATATGAATGTAAACATGGATCTTTTTATATGTATGTGGGCATGAATATTCTTCTTAATGGACCAAAGATTAGGTGTATAGTCTGGTGCAGTTGATATTCTTAAAAGCTCCAAATAGAAAAGTTAAGAAGATAAACGTTGTCGAAGTTTTTATAATTAAGTGCAAAAGCCACCATGCTTATGTAACAATTAATTGTATAAGCTAATTCATATATTTAATGCCATGTAGTCTCAAGTATAAAAGGGAAGGTGACTGTGTTCTAATTGCTTAGAAAGCTGTGTTGATTTACATTGGTAGTGATCTATTGTCTATTTCTAAATAACCTCTAGTGTTTAATTCTACAAATATTAATTGTTTTTTAACAGAATGAGTTTGGTGTCTGGGAGATCTTTTGGCCTAATAATGCTTATGGTTCACCACCAATTCTCCATGGTTCTCAAGTGAAGGTAAATTACCTGTAGATGAACATAAGTTTGGCTCTTGAAAGTTATTGTGCTTACATTCATATGCTACTTTTGATTATTTCCTTTTTCCACTTTTTAAGTCAAAGTAAAAAGAAACAACGAAAACTTGCAACTCTTTCCCTGTAGATCAACAAGGTATTTAGCCTTTTGATCATGATCTGTGGACCAGGAATCTTTAAGTATGATGCTTTTCTTAACACTGATCCTATTGCATGTGTATATGGTTTGACTAAATCATTGGTTGTACTACAACCTTCACAATAGTTAATTACTAGAATTCATGACATAAAGGCATTGAAGTATTTAGTGTGGTGATCTCCAAGTCAAGCAAAATTATTCAAGGTAGTTGAGTTGAAATCCAACTAACTCTCGTCCTAAAAGGAAGGGAGAAAGAAAGAAAAGATGAAGATGAAAAAAAAAAACCATTTTTCTGGTGGACTATTATGATCATGTCAATTATCATTCATCCAAACCTCTTTTTCCATGTGTACATTTTAAGTTTTTGACCATATAATTGTAGATTCGTATGGAAACTCCATCTGGGATTGAGGACTCCATTCCTGCTTGGATCAAGTTCTCTGTTCAAGCACCAGGTGAAATCCCATACAACAGAATATACTATGATCTGCCAAAAGAGGTATAGTTGGTGGCTATTTGCTGTTTTGGTTTTGTTGGAAAGATTAGATAACTTATTCTTTTCAAACTATAAGCAGCTGAAATATTTGGAGCTTAGGGAAAATAAAAATATCAACTAATGTTTACGATAATTTTAAAATGATTGCATGTGTGTGAAGATACATAGACAAAAGCATGCATGCATGCCTGCACACAAATATGATTAATTGATTATATAAACAAATAATGAATTTCTTATTCATCTTAGTGTAGGCTATTTTGATGAATGTCTTCCTTTATAACGTTAATATTAAAATCAATGCCCTTAAAGGTTTTTAAGAAAACAATTTTGATTGGTTCTTTTTCATATATGAAGTCAGTTTCTAAATTGTGTTCTCGCTTGTTCAAGTTTAATCACTACACAGCACAGTCAACTTAGTTTAGTCTCTAATATGTCTTATCTCAAATTTTTGTACTCTCTAACTTAACTAATGATTTTTATATTGTAATAGGAAAAGTATGTATTCAAACACTGTCAACCAAAAAGACCAAAATCACTTAAGTCTATGAATCACATGTTGGAATGAGTAGCATGGTATGTATCTTCCTTTCCCTTGCATGTAGCAAATTGTTATTCAACTCTTCTGTCTCTGCACTGAATTGCATTTCCTTGATTTATTTAATCTTAAAAGAGGAAACCTTAAGTTTGATAAAAAGCTTCATTAAATGCTATCATGTGTGGGATCATATTTTTTAAGCTATTTCTTTCAACCCTTCCTATGAAGTGTTCTTGCAAGGTTTTGAGACTAAAAAGTAAAGCAGGAGGTTTTATAAGACAAAACATTTTGCAAGAAAACTTATCTTAGTATCTGTATTTAAACTATCAATTTTACCCATTCCCTAAAAAAAAAGAAAGATTGAGAGATTTTTGACTTGCATTAAACATTTTTAAGAGCATCAAACAGTATAGTTGTCTGGAAGGGCCTGTAAATTTTGAAACGGAACTTTCCTACATCCCGTAGGAGGGTGGCCTCTCTTAAAGAGAAAATCTGTCAAATTAAGCTAGCAAAAAGCCACGTAGGTGTATACGGCCTACTTTTCATGTTCTTTGGTTAAAGGAAGTCCTTCCATTTGGATTATACTAAACAATGAGTATTACTTTAGTTAATGATAATGCAAATGCCAAACAGCTAGTGACTGGGATCTTTGTTAATTGCTTTGTGTATAGAAATATCTTAAATAGCAATTTCAAATCAATAACATAGAAGTTGGTTTGATTGCATTTCATTATGATTCTTCACCCATTTTTAAAACCCATTAAGAAGCCTAAATTTGCAATTAAACCGAAATTTATCTCTAGTTTTCATCATACTGTCATTCAAAGAAAAATTGTCCCACAAACACCTTCAGTCTTTATCTTCCATGGTGCACTTTGGTATGGTTAATCCATTTCCTGTTTTCTTAATATTATCAACTCCGAGATGTAGGAGCCAGTAATTAGCACATATGCCAACTTTAGAGATGATGTGCTTCCCTGCATTAAA